GAGGCACTGTTTTAATAATAGGCACTGGTCTGGAGCTCCTAATGAGAGTGACACAGGACCAGACAGTCTCGAAGCCAAGGTATGAATCCCTGCACTGGACGGCAACTCTCCTCAACACATTTCTTCTTTCCTCACAGTCACAAGTGAGAAGCAGAAGGTCTGGACCTTTACCATTGGTGGATTTTGCACAGACCCACAGCAGGACTAAAACTGCTGGAATCCTGAGTTAGAATATAACATGCCGAATAATATATCTGCTAATTATTTTTTTTTCAATAAATAATCTGTGTAGGAGGGTCATGTAATTGGTCATAACACTTAAGGTTACATTTTCACCTTATTCCCAGAGAAGTTACCTTATGTTGTGGGTTCTAAGCATTGCAGATAAAAACAAATACAGATGCTTTGGCTACCGCATATACAGCTCATTGTTCATCTACAATCAAAGATCAGGAACTAAATATTTACATTGCCTACATTTTCTGTGCAAATAATTGTCCAGAATTGCACCCACAATTATTTGCAATCACTTGCTCTAAAACAGAGCCTTGCTTTTATGTGCTTACAGCATACAAAACTCATGACCCCAGTCAGAATATACCCAAAGAACAGGGAGGGCTATTCCAGCAAAGCTGAAAACTCAAGCCACTAACAGCTGATGAAGTTCAGCTGAGACAGAGGTGAAGTGATTGCTACCTTGGGATCTGACAAGAATGTCAAAGGAAGACTTCACTCAAACTCCATACACACACTGAATTAGAGGGAGTGTTTTCAGCAACTCCGGCAGGCTCGCCCTCAGGTCTCAGAACAGCATACCCTTCCTCAAGTGAGTTGCATAACTGCTTGCTCTTAGCCCCACCCCAGTTACAAACTTTTTCCCATTAGTGAGTATCAGCTCCCTTTGGCAATGTGCACATCTGCTTCCTGCAGTGCATATAGCAAATAACTAAGAAAAAAATCTATGCCTCAACAACCCATACTGACACACATTAGGTCTTCTGCATTTTCATACATGTGTGAACACAAACCACAATCTTTTTTCAGTCTGCACATCTATGATGTCAGTCCAGAAAGTCATGAGCATCAGTTGTCTGAAAACTGCATTTTAAATATGATACATGTTTATTAATTGTTTTAATTTCAAATGCAGGGTTCAAATGGGTTGGTATTTCAGCGATTTCAGCTGCTTTTTTTTTAATTAATGCAGCTTTCAGTGTAAGCTGTGTAATGCATAAAATACTCAGAATATTCATCCTTTGCATTAATAATACAATTATTTGTAGAAGCCATCCCTCCAACACCACCCTGAATGTGCATCTCTGTACAAATACTACAGTACAACTGAGCTCTGTATGAAATGTGTATGACCCAAAACTATCAAGCTTTCAGAAAAATGTATTTTCCTTCTCAGTTTCTCTGATTCACAGTCACTGTTTGCAAAGCTGTATGACAAATATGTGGATATTATGCAACAGGAAAATATAATGCAGCTGCTTATGTATAAACAATAACTTGGGACATCAGGTAATTAAAAATGAATAGAAACTTGACAAGGCATCTCTGTGATTTCCTGGGGAACATTTGGTACAGAATCAGTCTGCTAGGCAGAGTTTCAACTCCTCAGACCCAAATACCAAACAACATTGCAAACAAAGGCCGTAGAGACACCAGAAAAATCATAATACTTAAAGTGAAAAATGTTCTACATCCAGAAGTCCAGTTCTGTGTTAAACAAGTGTGACCGTTTATTGCTGAGGCTAAAATGTGAAGTCTTCCTGCCCCTTTTGTGGAGTCCTTTCCTAGGACAAATTCCCACTAATGCATGGGGCAAAGTGCAAAATGCAGCCATTCTAACCCATCGCAGAGACCAGCCTGGCTGCCAGCTGACAAATCTGGGTTGTCAAATAAGAGTTTTGCCCGAAAAAAATCCTGTGGGATCCCGCATGTTAAAACACAGCTTATCATTTAAAAAGAGGGATCAGATAAATGTATTTTAAAAGTACAGGAGACCCTGTTCTTTGGGCTCAATTTTTCTGGTCTTTGTCATTCAGAGGGACTTTCCAGGGGATTACTTCAGAAGTAAAATATTATCTTTCATAACTAAGGCTGGGTAACAAGTCCTTCACTCACCTAGTAGCTATGGAGCTATTTGCAAGCTGTGGACAGGTGAACCTTGAATGTTGCTGATGCTTAAAATGTATAGCTAATATTTGTCGGAAATAGCAGGATTCCCTATTGCTCACACAAAATCCTTTGTTAATGTGCTTCAGAGCACATTCCCCCTGCTCCTGTTGTGTAATTGGAAAGCCTATGTAAAACATGCACACTTGGTTCCGCGCTGCTCTGCACCTCTTGTAGACACCTCTGACTTCGGTGATACAGACATAAAACTGGAATATTAGAGAACAGTCACTTCTCTTCTCTAGGGGAAAAGTGCTGTCTGCCTTCTTAAGACCCAGCTTTTGTAATGAGCTTTGCCCAGAGGAGATGGGGAAAGTAACAATTTCCCTGAAGTCCAAAGACAGAGACTATTTCACCATAGTCCTTCTAGCATATGAATTGTGACTGTGGCTTCCCCATTTTTCTGCCATTCCAGATATCCTTTTGTTAGGTTCTCACAAATGAACGAGTCTTCTCTCCTGTCCCCTGCTCATCCATTTACACCCAAAGCAGTATGCATTGCAAAAGACTATGAAAAGATCCAAGGAGGTCAGAGACTTCTGGTGAAACTTTACCATCAGAGGCTATCACCCCAGACTCACTGCACTTTAGCCAATGGACAGCTAGTAAGTCAGTGCTATGAACAGCAAGAATATGGTTCGTAAATTTCACTTTCCACCTGGTTGGAACAAATTTTTTGGCAAAAATATCAATGAAAAAACTGAAAAAAAGAAAAAGAAAAAAAAAAGTCACATTTTCACGTCCTTATTTTTTCCAAATACCTTCTAAATTAACAAGATAATATATTTGTGACAGACGAAGTAATTAATATTAATGTGAATGAGTTCTCTGGTAACCGAGTCTGAATACTACATGAATAGATTGGTCTATATGTCAGAATTTTTCCAAAGCCAGCTTCTGTTTACCCATATTATTAAGGGACAGGAGTGAAGGGGAATCTTGTCTGTGTCTTCTGTTATTGAGCAGGGTACTGAAAATGACCTTTTGAATAAATACTTTTTAGGTTTTCTGCCCTTTCAAACTCTCTGGACAATGTATTTCAATAAATGAATTCCATTTTATTAATAGCAATTTGTTTCATTTTTAAATAACAAAGATGTCTATATTACATTTATCAGGTGATCTTTCAGGCTGAACAAAAGCTTTAAAGTAAGACTGATCTTGTCAGCAGAATAGGGATATATTATGAAGACAAAAGCATAAATATTGAGAGTGAAAAAAGATAAAAATAGTTTCCAGCACCAACATAGAAAATAACCCAATTTACATAACAATTGTTCCTCAACACATCTGTTGAGGTAAATGAAATTCCAACAAAGGCTATGGGTTATAGCCTATGAGCTGGATCCTGTGAATATTTCAGCAGAATTATATGCAGAAGACCCAGCCTGGAACCTAGGACAACACAGCCACGGTACAGCGGCTCTTAACAGAACAGGGACAAGCTATTTCCATCATTTTTAGTAAGACTGCTAGCACTTTATTGTTTCATTTTTAAAGAAAATTGTGGAAGGATGAATATTACCACTAAACCTAACTCTATCTTTAACCATGAAGTGATGGCTATAATATGGTGCACATTCTCTGTGATACAAAATGAACAGAATAATAATGGGACAATAGAAAAATGTAACACAAAGCAAACAGGACAGCGTTAAGGGTGGCATATTGTTTGTAAGGCAATATATGCAGTGAAGTGGTTGTTCGCTTTTGGGGCCTACAGTAATTCCCATTCTGCCTCCTTCATCACTCTGCACGCATTCCCATAGTTTGCACTCCACATCTTGAATTCAAAAGGGTCTGATTCATCTACCCTCAGTACCACATACAAACTACAAAAGTCTCCTCGACATGGAATCCAAAACCAGACACGGAACTCGAAAAATATGTCCAAAACCTCTGTCTTTGAATGGGAACATGTTACACAGAGATCATGGTTTTTCCTCGACTTCATTATGAGCGTAACAAATGAATGACCGGGAACTCGATGTATCTGAGAAACCTCTGATGCGTTTTGAAACGCTTCCATCTCATGGAAAAAAGAGTTTTCGAAACCTGTGCTTTCCCAGCCAGTAGCAGTTGAGCCTTTTATAGCTTTTCTCCTGGCATGGGATTTGATTAGCAAGTACAAAGATTTAGACAGAGATTTATTAAGTAACAGTTATATTGTGTTGTAATTAAAACGTAGGAAATTCACAGTCTACTTAAGCGTTTAAAAATGCTTAATGTAGGAAGCAATTACACCTCATTTTCAAATTATTCTCCTGCCTACAGAGCACGCTGCGGACAGGGTAAACCGCGACTTCGAGTGCGGCGGCGGCAGGACGTGCCCGCTGGCGCGGCCCGGGACTGCACGGCCTGGCCGAGGCGGGGGCTCGGGGCCAGGCCGGGGCAGAGCCCCGGTGGGCGGTGCGGCGGGGTCCGGGCGGCAGGCGGCAGCTGGCGGGGGTCGGAGCGCTGCGATTTTCGAATGTTTGCTGTGCGGTTGTGCCGGGGGAAGGGGGGGCGGGGGGGGGGGTGTTTAGCGGGAGCTGCCCGCCCTGCCAATCCTGCGCCCGCCAGGAGCCTCTCTGGCAGGAGAAAGGTGAGCTGGGGGGCTGCGGCAGTGTGCCGAGGGAGGGAGCTGAGAGAGGAGCGGAGGGGGGAAGCCAGGCTCTTTCCCGACGTCGCCAATCTTGGCGGACTCGTTTGCAAACCAAAACTGAGGGAAGGCCGGCACCGGCTCCAAACCAAGAGTGGCAGCCCGGGCAAGGGCCACAAGCCCGAGGCGGACCTCAGGGGCCCTGTGCACCCCCGCCCTCCTGCCCCTCTCTCTTTACCTGGCTGTACTTGGCCTCCTGCTCAAGGGAGTTCTTCTCCAGCCCGTTCACGGCGTGCTGAGCGGTGGGGGGAAAGCTGTTTCGGCCCAGGCTGCTCCAATCCTCCACCTTGGGGCTGGGGTAAGGCGAGGTGTCGCTTACTGCTGGGAAACATGGGGGGAAAGAGGGGTTAGAGGCAGGAGCCGGAGTGCAGAGAACTTCGCTCCTAGCTGGAAATTATTCCCTTTCCCCACTGGACGCAGGCTGTGGGGCAGAGCCTGCCCCTCGCCCGCTACACCTCGCTAACCCGCGGGGGAACCCCTAGAGAGGTGATCCAGGTGGGAAGAAAGGTCCCTTCTTGCAGCGGAAGACAGAAGTCGCCAGCAGAGTCGCTAGTCCCAGCGCCCCTGCATAGGCGGGAAGAGCTGACCACCGGCACTTGTCCCCTGGGATCTCCTAGGGGGATTCACTGGAATCGTCTCGGATGTGTGCGCGTGCGAGTCCAAAGACAAACCATATCCCCTGTTAGAAGTTACCCTGGCACGGCTGCAGATAAACCAGCCTCCAAATTTGGGAAGGGAAAAAAAAATATATAAATAAAAAAATAAACGAAACAAACAACAAAAAAAAAAACAACCCAACAAGAAAACACAACAAACGAAACACAAAAATAAATTAAAAATTAAAAAGTAAAAGAATGGAAAATTAAAAGGGATGGAGAGAATAAAGGGGCGGGGGGGGGGGGGGGGCCTAACGTCCTGTTATTTACACACCATCAGCCGCCGCGCGGGAATACCGGGCTGTGTTGCAGGCGGGCGAATTCTCGGGGCCGCCGAGGAGTGGAGGAAAAAGGGGTTTGGGGGGGCTCCCCCAAGCGAAGCCCCGTCGGAGTCTGCGGGGCTGCGGTCCCGGCTAGGCCGCCGTGGGAGCGGGCTGCCTCGCCGCACCGCTTCGCTCGGCCCCTCGGCAGGGCTGGAGAAAGGCACATATCTGAAGTTGTCTTAAGAAATTGAGCTCTCTCGGTGAGTGCCCTTTTCTGCTGATCTCACACTTTCCCATGAATAGGGGCTTCCTTTCCGTGTCAGCAAGGTCAGTTTATCCTATAAATCAAGGGCGAGCAGCCCCCATCTGCGGCATCGGCCGCGCAGCAGCCCTGGGTCTCTGCTGAGAAGGGGAGGGAGGGAAGTTTTACACTGCAGAAAGATGTGTGTAGCTCCGAGGTCTGAGAGAGACGGGCAGATACCGAGGCACCCGGCGGTACCGCCAGAGGCCCCCTGCCTGCCAATATGGTGTTAATAAAAGAGGAACTCACTAAAACAAAAAGAAAAAAATACCAAAACCAACCAACCTCCATTTCTCCTGTGACGGTAATGTTCTTTCTTTTTAATGTTCATTGCCAACACTACCCTTCCCTAGCACAGAGCAGAGATTGCCAGGCGTATGTTTGTTCAAGTCGACTAAGAAACACAATTGCTTGTGCCAGTGTGGTCTGAGGATAAAATTCACATCTTGAAGTAGAGGGCGAAGAAGGGCAAAACTTGTATCTTTTTGTATGTATGAATATAAATAAATGTATGTATGAATATAAATAAAACATACTTATGTGTATGTGCGTTACTTGGAAGAAAATACCGCCTTTTTGAGAAAAGAAAAAATTATTCTGCAATGCCTAAAGGATCACTTTGCATTTGAAGTGCTTCTGGAACAGGATTGTTGCCGTTAAATAGCGCAGAAAACAAATCACAGCCCCCCCCCCCCCTCCCCCGCTAACTGGGAAGGGAAGAGTGGGACACAGAGATCGCTGTAGGCAAAGGTTATTTTATACTATTGTTTTAACCACTTTCACTGGCAGAGACAGAAATGGAAAAAAACGTCCCTTCCTCTGCCGCAAAGCGTAGCGAGCTGCTGGGAGACGCGACGCAGTTGCCAGGCGGAGAAACAGAAAGAAGGTGGAAGGGAAAAAAAAAAGAATTCTGCAGCTTTGTTTTCCCTGGACCACCGCTTCGGAGGAAAATACACCATCAGAATGAAAGCAATTAGGTGACATTTGAACTTCCTGCCGGAGCAAATTTGGCCTGATTGCGAAAACTAGAGAAAATGGACTTCTCAGTAATGCCAAGGCGGCGCCTGTGACCGGAGGGCGGCAGCGTGCCTCGGCCAAGGCCGGGCGGCCGCAGGGCTGGAGCTCAGCGCCCCTGGGGTCGCCGTACCCCGGGCCCTTCCCTCCGGCCCCGGTCGCCACTGCAGGGGTAAGAGCGGCAGCGGTGAGAGTAGGAATGTACCGCCTACTGAGTCCCCGGCATCCCACCCCGGGCCGCCGATCAGCCCGCGTCCTGAGGGCGCATCCTCCGGTAAGTTCAGCGTCGGCCTCTGGCTGGGGGCAAACGCTGGAGGTGCCCCGAGACCAACTACAGAACCTCGTCCTTCCCACCCTCGGAGAGGCAGGAGCTCAAGAGCAGGGGACAGAAAGGATGTGGCCCTGTCTGGCTGCCCAGGTTCCCCCTCCTCACCTTGGTCTGTGATGGAGCGGATCCCCAGTATGTCCGTCACCGAGTGGGAGGACGGCCACGTCCTGGGCATGGCCATGGTGCTGGGGAGCGCTGGCACTCCGGGAGGGGTGGGGACCTTGGCTCCTGCAGCAGCGATGGGACTGGGGTAGGAGTAGATGTGGTTGTAAGGCAGAGCAGGCTGTGGGGGTGGCGGGTGCTGCTTGTAGGACTCGTAGTGACTCTGCTGAGACAGGTTCCCTATTTTGTTTCGGAGGATGCGGCTGATGGAGCTGACCGACGGCACATTGTATTTGTCGCACACGCCGTCTGCCAGCAGGCGATCCCGGATCTCCCAGGCGAAGATGCCCGGATCCCTTTGTTTGTAGGTCCGGATGTGTTTTACCACCGTGGGGGTGGTGACCCGAGGCTTGCTACCCCCGATAGCCCCCGGTAGGATGGAACCCGTCTCGTTGTAGCGAGCCAGGATTTTGCTGACACAGCCGTGGGAAACGCGGAGCTGCCGGCTTATGTCACACGGTCTGATGCCCAGTTGCGCCAGCTCCACAATCCGCAGCCTGATGGCATTGGGCAGGGGTCTCCCGTTGACAAACACCCCCCCGAGCTGGTTCACTTCCCCGAAGGCAGGTTCTGTAAGCAAACGCACAAACACAGCCGTCGGACACGGCGTATAGTTCAAAGGGGGCTCCTGAACTGCTTCTCATTGCGAGGTAGATGTCACAGCCCGGAGATCCCCTGGAACCCCCCTGCACGCTTCGTTAGAATCGTGGGATAGCCCCAGAATTGAGGCGGGGGAAAGAAGGAGAAGAAAGAAAGAAGGAAAGGAAGGAAAGGAGAGAAGGAAGGAAAGGAGAGAAGAAAAGGAGAGAAAGAAGGAAGGAAAGGAAAGGAAAGGAAAGGAAAGGAAAGGAAAGGAAAGGAAAGGAAAGGAAAGGAAAGGAAAGGAAAGGAAAGGAAAGGAAAGGAAAAAGAAAAGAAGGAAAAAACTCCGTGGCAACAAATATCGCAGCTCTCCGGACTATGCATTAAGCATATTGAAAAAAAAGCGCATTCCAGAGATGAAAAACGAGATCGCTCCAACAGACAAATCAGCTTTATTGCCACAGGAAAAAGGAACACGAAGAAAACAAAAAGAAAAGAAAAACATTTTCGAAGACGGGGGAGGGGGAGGAAGGAAGAGTAGTTGAGGAAATTCTTTTATATCTTGGGAGAGGCAAGGGCGGGCAACGCGGTGCTTCTGAGTCGCGACTAACTTTTTAAAGACCGTTTCTGGTGCTGTTAGCGCCTCTCGCTTAACAGCACAATTACACCAGGATGTAAAGCAAACGTGCTAAAATGTTAACTACTAAGATCGGTGTCAGGAATAATATACAACGTGCCACGGGCTCCAGCCGGCTGCGATCCGGCCTCGCACTCGCCTAATAACATTAATAACAAACCAAGCAAGTAACAAACCCTGCTCCTGACCCTTAACGTGTTCTTACAACTTGTATGAACACGAACAAAGTCAATAAGGGACCTGAGGCGACGGCTCATGACGGCGCACGGGCGCTTCCCCCTCTCTTGACAGCACTTGAACCCTCCTGCGGCTCCCGGCCACTTACCCATTCCTCCGAGCGGGACACCTTTGAGGCTGCCCTAAATCCCAGTCGGAGACCCGTGCCCGGAGACAGGCTCCCAGCCTCCCGCGATCCCTGCTGCACTAGCCCCGCGGCTCTTTGAGCTCCACCGAGAAGCCAGCAGGGGCGAGAGGGAAAAAGAACTACAAGAAAATCTACTTCCCGAGGAGAGAGCCTTGACTTCTGCATTTCAACCTCAGGGCAACGTGGGCAGGGCTGGGCTGGGCCGGGCGCCGCGGCCCCCTGTTCCCTCGGGCCCGCCCTCGAGGGCGGCCCCACAGCCCAGCCGCCCTCCCAGTGGCCAAAGGACATGACGGACAGCGCGGGACTGACGGCCCTTCCGCTCTGCCCCGCCACCGGGCCCGGCACCTGGGCCCCGCCATGCCTCCGGGGCTCCTCCGTACCTGCCCGGTGGTAAGTTCCGCGGTCAGCGCAGTCAGTGCCGCGGTGGTGCTGAGTGGGGCCGGCGCTGTGGTTGGTCGGAGGGAGCTCGAGCACGCAGTCCCCGCGGGGCCGGGGCACCTCCGGCGGGCGGGCGGGGCAGAGCAGGGCGCAGAGTCGGGCACCCCCCCTCCGGAATTCCCTGGGCACCTCCGGTCTGCGGGTTGCCCCTCCCGGCCGTTCTCCCAGGGTCAGCGACCGGGGAGGGGGCTTCGGGGTTCTCAGAGACGGCTCCCGCTTTCTCCGACAGAAGCAGAGCGATGTCTTGACACCAGCGCGGCTTCCCCACGTTGGTTTCGCGGGTACGGGAGGGAAGTTCTTCCTTGGATACGGTCGTCTTGTTACAATAAAGCACTTTTTCACTAACGAACATCTCACGGGTGGTGCACGAGAAGACTGCGAGCCGTGAGAGTTACCATTTTTGGTGGAAACCACAAAGCGATCGGGAAAGGAGCTACTGCTTCGCTTGCCCCGCGAGGCGAGAGGACGGGGCTGGCAGCACCCGGGCGTCGATCGGGACTCCGGTGCTCCCTGGCAGTTCGAGGCCGGCGCTGGTTCTCCTGCAGTCCCCAGTGTCACCAAACACTGCCCCGCGCAGAGCTGCAAAGCGCCAGCGCCTCGCTGCTGATTCAGCTTTATCAAAGACATTGCTGCATATTAACAGTTAAAAGAAAAACAGGCAAAGCTGATAGAAAAGTATGCGTGGGTCACGCCGTGTTTGTGGAAGGGGTGTTTGGTTTGGCATTAGGTGTACGGATCCTGCTCCCTGAGTTTGTATGTGTGCCTCTTACATACATCCCGCATACATCAGGCTGCACACGGGATCACCATCTTCCTGGCTCCAAACAAGGATTTAACACAGGTTTCTATTTTTTTTTTCCTTTTTTTTTTTTTTTCTTTTTCCTAAGAATCTTTCTTGTTTCTTTTGGTTTTGTTTGTTTGGGCAGGGGTCTTGGTTGGCTGGGGTATTTTGTGGGTTTTGCTGTTTTTTCGGGGGGAGGGGTATTAATAGAGTCTCGAAGGTGCAGGCTCTATACATAAAAATCGAAATGAAATAATGTGACAGGAGTGCACAAAATGTCAGCGAGTAAAATATGAAATTGATGTCCTTGGTGTCTATGAACACTGTATAAATATTCATTTTAATTGAAAAGTTTGTAAGATATTTTCAGGGAAAAAGATCAAATTAATTGAGCTAGATCTCAGAGCCTGCACATACCGCAATGAGTGCGGATGGTTAGGAGCAAGTAGGATGTTGCAGGACATCGCGCAGAAATTAGTACCATGTTGCAGACGTTTTGTTCTGTTGATTGAAAAAAAAAAAAAACAACAAAACCAAACCAGCAACAAAAGAGAACCCAACAACATCAAGTTTTCTATGGCAGTTCTGTGGTTATTTCAGAACTATGAGCTGCCTATTCAGAATATTACACTTGTAAATCGGGGTGCTTCCTTGACCTAAATAAAACTACCTTGGCAAAGGGGGCACACACACGCGTGCATATGCACATCGCTGTGCAAATGCCATGATCCGAAGGCGATAGTATGCTGCGAAGGCAATACTCGCTGAAGCAAGAATACTTTTCAGTGTTGTGAGCTGACCTGCTTTGGATATTTTAAAGGCAGGAGGCATTGAAAGAGTGGACCAGGATCCAACTATTAATTAAGTTAATTATGCAATTAAACAATGGAAGGGGGTGCGCTTCCGTAAAACTTCCGGTCCGCACTAACAGCGTATTTATCCCCGAAGCAGAGCCGATAGAGGGATCCCCGGCAGTCTGCCTGCTGCTCCGCACACGCGTCCCCTCCAGTTGCTTCAGCCCAGTCCAGTGGCGAGTGGCTGGAGCCAGCTCTGGGGCTTGCCACTCCTGAAGCACCCCAGGGTTGCCGGGATGCTCGGGCGCACCCCGGCGCTGCTTTCCCAAACTGCCCGCGCAGCTTCTCTCCCCATCTGTGCCTATTATGTGCACAGTTGTGTCCTTTCCTCCCCTCTCCGCCGTGTCCTCCAACCTGTCTGTTCCCCCTCCTTCCCTCTCCCAGCCCTCCACCCCCGAGACCGCCTCTGATCTCCGGGATATTTGGTTTCTTTCCCGTTCTCAATGTGTGTTCCTGATGTGGTCCTGTCGGAAAAGCTCGTTTACTCTGCTCGGGTCTCCAGTGGTTTAAGGATAATGTTTATCAGAAGTGAACGTGCTCAACTTGTTTCCATTCAACTGCTGAGTGTGGGCTGAAATACCAAAGGTCACATCTACAGTGAGTCGGTAGAGGGCAGGGGGAGCCGAGAGGAATACGAAAACATTATAGTACACAACAGCCTGTTGATCGCTTCTGACCTGCCTGGCAAAAAGATTTACTTTTTTTTTTTTTTTTTCAGGTAGGAAATCATGGAAGAACCGGAGGGAAAAGGCGGTAGGGAGAGGAGGGCGAGGGGCGCGGAGTCGGGGCTCCTCCACCAGGAAAAGGGTACGGGTGGCTGGTCAGGGTCTTGCCCCGAGGTGCGGCCGCTCCACCGGCAGCCGCCCCGGCACGCACCCGCGCCCCACCGCTGGGTCCCCCAGAGTAGGCAAAGCAAAGCAGGGGGGCTGAAGGAGACTTGACAAGGGCCAGCCAACAGCCGGGTTTCCCCTCACACCCCTTCGCCTCCGTGCCGGAGAGGGGGACTGAACCGTGCCCTCCCGCGCCATGCTGCCCGGTGGCTGGTCTCTCGGGGTTCACTACCTCTGTCTGCCTGACCCCGACATCGGGCCATCGCCGAGGGGAGCTGGCGGCTACTTTCCTTCCCTCAAACACGGTCTTCTGGCCGTCTCTTCTCCACGAAATGGACTTGGCGTGAGTTGCTTGCAGCAAATTGCCTGTACGACAGCAGCCCCGGTCCCGGCGAAGCTGCAGCTGGCAAGCCCTGACTCTCCCCCCCCCCCCAACTTCCCCCCATGAGGGCCTTCTCTGGCGCTTTCTGGAGGCCGGAGGCCTCCCGAAAGTGTCTCCCAAGAGCCGAGAGTTCGGTACCGGAGAGGCGGCATCTCTCCTCCCCGCCGGCCGGGCTGCGATGAGAGAGGCAGCCGAGGCCGCCAATGCTTCTGTGCTCAGCGCGACGTGGCCGGCTCCGGCCTCCCCGGGACGCTTTCACCGAAAGCCCGTCCACCACGGAGGCTTTTCTGTGGCGACTTTGGGGGATTCAGTGTCTCGCTGAGCCCTAGTTCCCTCCGTTCCCCCGCTGTAGGGAGAAATCAGCCTAACATAACACGACACACACACAGCCAGCATCTCTGAAGCGGCAGATTTTTAACGCCTTTTTTTGTTTTTCTCGAAGGAAGCTGAACTCTCCTTACCGTGGGGAGAGGGATGCTGAGAAGCTGTCAAGGCAGAAGGATGCTCATATGACAACACATTTTGTAAGTAGAAGCTCCCTCCCTTAGACCTTTCCCGAAGGGCAAAGCCCCCCCTCTCCTATGCGTGTGGTCGGGAGGATGGGTTTCTCGAGGTTGTGTGAGGAAGATATGGGTCTGGGGTGAGCGAACGTTAGAGCCACAAGTGGTGTGGGCTATCTCAAAGACAGTCGCGCACTGTCGCAGTTGCCCTGTTTTCTCCTCACTAGCTCCTGCCATGCGGTGCCGAGCTGCCAGATTTCCCCCCCTTCCCTTCAGGGAAGAGATATGAACAGTTTGGAGGGGAAAGGAAACCTTGGAGCCGGAGCAGGGGTGAGGCAAAGCAGTGGGGCTGTCGGATAAACTTTTGGACACCTCTGGATTAAAGTCAGGGAAAAGCGAGCAGAGGCAGGTGGAAGGGCAGCGACAACCTAGGGCTGTGGCTGGAGGTGGCTCATCCTGGAGAGAAGGTGCTGTATTATGTAGACCCCCGGAGCTTTAAAATGAAGCTTTCGTTTTATACACAGCTATTCCTCCAAGCGGGAGTATAAAATCCCACAGGGTCTCCCGGGATCGCTCCCATTTTCTGCGGGGTATGTAAGAACCAAATGCAGGATGCAGGGGCCCTCTGGTATCCTCGGGTATTGGCTGCCATATGCATTTCCTTATGCGACAGAAGAGCTGAGCCCAGCAGGTTAGCGAGGGCACCGTGCCTTAGTAGGGCGCGGGAGGGGGCCCAGGTCCGGTTCCGGCTGACCCCGCTCTCCACCGATAAAGAACGGAGGGAGGGAGTTCTCCCCCTCTCTCCCATCCCGAGCCTGCGGGCTCGAAAGCGCCTGGTCTGACTCCCAGGTCTGAGGTGCGCCGATCCCCCGGCATAGTCTGGGATAAGAGCACTTCAAACAAGCTCCCGGCAGACGCTTGCTTGGAAGCGGCTGCGGAGAAGATGAGGGGGTTCACGGGAGGCTGCCCCTTTCGGCAACGTGCAGCTGCAGGACGGGACCTCCGCTCCCGCGGTCCCGAGCTCCTTGGCGAAGCCCAGCCCCCGCTCTTCTGCAGGAGTAGACCTGGTATTCCACTTATTCTCCCCTTTTCGGGGGAAAAAAGGCTTCGCAAGAACGATCCTGAGTCACGTTGCCGATCCTTCGTTGGTAGATGTCGCGTCTCTTACTGCCACCCGCTGCCTTATTTCAGCTCGCTAAAACGCAGACGCTTCTATGTTTTTGTTTACAGAAACTGCCCGCGTTCACGTACAAAGTAGTTGTGAATTCATAAGGGGATATTTTTACATTAATTGAATTAACATAACACTCAAACATGCACGGAAATACTAGTAACGACTCTGAAACTCCTACAAAAGATTCCTTTTTATTTT